GACAGATGAGCGTCTAAAGCACTGACAAGCGACCATTTTTGTTCTGAGCTTCACAGGTGGTACTTGTGCAGGGTAAAAATCAGGATCTTTTGCAACTGGTTCTCGTAGTCGACAGCTTAGACATCAAATCCTTACGACACTCTATTCGTAGAAGGGAATGCTTTAGACAATAGTTACGTGCTTTCATGTCCCCGCAGCAACCATCTAAATAAATTATTTTCTATGAGAAACTTTAGAAAGCACCACTTTTTAACTTGAAGTGGCATTACTGGTTAATTAAGAACTATGATAACCTGAGATAGCATCGTCTCGTTTGAACATCCCATGATCTCAAGGTCAAGAACACCTAAGCTTCGTCGTGAGTTTCGTCTGTTGATAAATATGTGATATGAAACGGTTAACCTTTAAGACTATAACAAGCTGATATTTTTTTTAATTATATTATTCAATTCCCTTGCGCGCTTAAAGCCAGACAAGAGCGGTTCTTTTTTTCTGCTCACTAAGCCGATGCGGCACCTTCACGTAGCTAAACCTAAGACCGTCTGCGTAAATTTACGAATAGGACGATCGCAAAAGGCCATAACGGAAGACAAGCAGCTGGTTATAAGTATTATTGGTAGCTTAGAGGTCACGTGTTTGATAGTTAAACTTAGGGATAATACGTTCGCAATCCACGCGTGGACAGTTTTCACTTGGCGGTGGAAGGGGCCAGCCGTCTGCAGCAACCGTTAGTAACAATACTCGACGTAAACTCGAAACGTTTATTTATTTAACGCCCGTTATAAAATATTGCTCTACTTGGAATAGTCAAACAAAGAATACAAATACTTATTTATATTCTCTGTTTGACTATGGAATCGAGCGTCATTTGGGAAATTGAACGGTATCACTCGCTCGCTATATATATCAAACAGGTGCCTCTAGTTCATCTGTTTGCTTGATACGATAATTATTCATTCGCTTAACATTAGCCATTATAGTTAGTTATACGCTATAGCAAAAGAGTGGAATTTGCGTTTAGCGGAAAAATCAGAGGGCAATTTTGAGCTGTCGACACAATAGTAAAAGTATCGACATTAAAAATCCCTAAACTTTTCTTTAATATCTAAGAATAATACCGTGACACAACATAAACCCCACTTAATGCATTGATACCCAGCAAAGCAGCGCTGTGCTGGTGACTTATTTCGAACATATTTGCCCACTCTTTCCCTGTCAATATTCCGACTCTATATCTATACACATTTTAAACGACTTACGGCTTGAATAAACTGGAGGAGCAGACAGATCCTGGCAGTATGACCGGCGTCTATAGCACGATGTCGCCTTCTCTATTTCAGACACACGTTAAGTACGTGGTAAACTCACCAATGTAATCTGTGTCGTTGGCTTCAGGTGGTAGTTTTTCAATCGAACGAGGACCATGTGTAGCAATGATGTAATACCAACAAGCCAAACAAATCGTCGTCGCCATGCCCTGTCGCGAAGTTCCGTTCCCGAATTGCTTAATCACCTCTTCGCTTATTGACTGCTGCAGCGTGTCCTCAATCTTAACTCAAACTGTGTTGCTTTTGTATACCGTCACAGCCCCTGATACGACTTGTTGCTGGCCAGGCCACTATGCGGCAATCAGATATATATTGCAAATGTATTGGACATTACATGTCCATAGTGATACTGTTAGTGGAGCTTCGCGGCTTGTATGTTTACATTATCTTCCTTTCAACAAACATCCGTAAACCCGCCATTTTTAACCTCTGTTTTTTGATTTAAGCTCGAAATAACGGAAGGCGAAAACTGAAACGTTATTATCGGAGTAAATCGCGTGCATCGTTAGCTAAATACGAGCTATTGTTGTATTGACGCGCACGCCACATTAGTGAGTCGAGGTAAACAGCTTATTCACAAACCACCGACGGTCCGACGCTAGCTGGCTGGACAAACAGCGATTGATTGACTGGCTGGCATACCAATGAATGAGATAAATAGGCCGTACTAGCCATTAAGGTTATAGGCTTCTAAATTCGGCCGCTGGAACCGCTACTTTGTTGCTGTTTTTGCGGCAACCTCAGTGCCACAGCTTGCTTCATGAACGTTTTTTTGCCAGCAGCTATGTGTTATATATATGCCGGCTCTAGCCTGCATTGGAAGGTGGCTTCAGTGATTGGAGCCTTGACAGAAAGCATAGAAGATCTGCGCAAGGGCTGTCATCATGTTGGCTCGATAGGATTTTTTCGAAAGTAAAATATTTGCAGCAGGGCAATTTGATCTGAGTGCAACATACATGTAGGAGAAATATACGTATTTTATATATATGTATATAATATCAAATTTTGTTGAATTTCCGTGGCGTCTTTGCCTTGTAAAGCTTTCTGTCCGAGCCATTCACACAGACCCAAGCGGTAAACAGAGTTTGAAGAAAACGCGCATGGGCAGATCACCAGTATGAGTTGAGAATCGACGCGGCGTTATGTGGCTACATGTTACACGATGGCTAATTTCGAAGTAATATGAACGTAAGAGAAGAGACCTTCGACCGATGCAGTTCCGCCCCGAACTTCAGCATTGCCTCTGTAGCGAATGATGCCATGTTTGTGCTCAGTCGTTCCGTACAATGCTCATGTCTCTTTGCAAATCTGTCCTGCCGACGAATACGACAGCGTCGAAACATTATAAAAGTCTCTATAAAAGAGACGCCCACCGTATTTAGTATTCCGTGTAACGGAATTACTTGCGTCTGCTGCACAACCTTTCAGGTGGAAAAAGGATGCAGACAGAATACAGAAGCGTGCACAGGGAAAAAGCAAAAGTAGAGAAGTGAAGTACAACTGCAAAGCAAACAAAATGACAATTGTGCATATGCAAGACATATATATATATCTATATTGAGTTGCCGGTTTTAACGGCTACTAGCATGTTTGCATCGTTCTACGTCCCAAAAATGATGATTCATTAGTCGTCCTAAGGCGATCATAAACAGTTACTAAGTTCTCTAGGATTGCATCCTGTTTTTGTTGACATCGTTGTACTCTAGATGCTTGCAGGCCGCTGAATATAACTTCACTCTAATGAAGCATCATTACAAGACATCAAAAAACTATCTCGAAACTTCGGCATGCAACGTGTCAGTCGGATGAAATGGATGCATAGGAGAACTTTGCTACATGTGCTACACCTTGTGGCATATGTGTCACGTTATGAGCTCGATTGTTCATTATCTTCTCTCGGCTATCCACTTCACCCTATGTTACTCTTTTAAATACTGACGCTCTTACTACTAAGATTTTTCAAATTCTTTTTGGCTTCAGTGTGGCTGGATAGTTTGAATAACTTGTCTACATCTGACCTTTACGAGACTTGTGCTTCACTGTAGAACTATGAACATGTCCTGATATTCATCTAGCTCGGCTTTGACGGCAAATTTACTTTTTTTTCCCACTAGAAATCTAATCCTTTTCACCAACTGTAGGCCCACCTTCTATCGTGAATATACGCCATCCAGTATATTCTGAAGTAGTGGAACTTGAAGTAGCGATTGCCTATCTGTCTCATTATTAGTATGTTTTTTTCTGAATCCGCTCAGAAAGAGCACGTAGTAGTGTGTAGGATGGCTTAAATGATTGACGCCTTGCTTTATCAAGCTGAGAATACAGTACGAAGACCAACATGTCCAGTATGTGCCTCATAATATAATAAGAGGTAATGTTTGCGAGTTATTAATAAAATTCTTGTTTTACAAATGATAATGTGTATTTAGATGCGGTAGCTAAAACGACAAGCTCAATTCTGTCTGTCTAAGACGTGCACAGCCACCTCAGGAAATGTATCAGAAAGCAAACACAATCGATACGATTAAAAATTGAATCCAAGTTGATAATTTAACTTGACTTACGTTAAACGTATATGGAATCTAATATAAGTAATATCTAGAAAACAGACTCCTGGCTAATCCTGTTTCGCATAAACACCAGATAGCATAACGAATAATTGCACTTACTCAAAACTACTGTTTTTATTACAGGTATAAAATCCAAGTCTCGAGGGGGAAAGATTTTATTAAATTTCTGATGGGGAATTTTTATTTTTCCTCTGTATTTTTTTCTATAATCACGTTACCGCACTTTACTCGACGTGATAAAAAAAATATTGGAATGCATGACCAATTTACCTGGTTTTGTTAATTCGGCCGATAGCTGTTCAGTGTTTTGAACTCCTTCCTAAATACATATACGTATTATTTTAGAAACATATGCAGCATCGGTACCTATTCAACAGGGTCCCACGACGCTGAAAGAGACTGACTGCTTGAAGAAAAGGTTTTGAGTAACTAACTGATATATGATGTGTGGTACGGATGCATAGAACGTTAGCTATTGGATTGTTCTATTGTCTAGTACGACCAGCCTCGCGCAAATATCCATTCTACGTTGTGAGTTTAGCGTTGAATCCAATAAAGATATTGTATTAATAATAACAACAACTCATCCAGCGGCTAGCTAAATTACTGCGACAATTGGTTTTATGGATGGCGAAATGTCTTTCATCCATGCTGAACATCGAATGGTGGTTCCCAAAACACTAAATGTTTCCAGTTGGCGGTAATATTTGAAATTGGCGGTCCGTAGTACATTGTATCCTTTGCCAGCGCTAGTTTGCAGTCGATATAGCGTAACCGGATGGGAGACAGAACGTTCAAACTCTGATTGCAAATCATATTTCAGCTGTGGATGTTAGGCCAGATAATATGCTGGACACGTATGCTAGCGATCGGTATATATTAATATGCAGGTACGACTAATTTATTTCCTTACGTCTAAATATATCGATCAATCAATAATTAATTAATTAACTACAGGTTGTATTGTAACAAACAGATTGATATATATATATATATGGTAGGACTTTATTTATATTAATATAGAAGAAGTTAAATTTTGGTAGAGATTTGTATTCGTAGCACATAAGTATCTAAGTCGCACATATAATATCTCTGGTTACAGAGCTTTCGGAAGAATGGTCGACCACTCCGGGGGCAAAGGAGCCTGTGCAGGAGGGAGTTACTTTCTATCTCAAATACCTTGGATCTACTTTCGTTGAAAACGCGAAGGTGCGTTATTTACAAGTTAATTTCGTATAGATCTGGTCTACTACAAAAAAACAACACCATACAAATTCAACAAAAAAGTCACTTTTCACCTACTTATGAAATAAAGTTAACTGGTTAATGTTTACATAGCATAGATAGTTCTTCAGACTATTTTATCATAAGTTAATATTTAGAAACTTTTGCCGTTAAGAGCTTGACGGATAGGGAGGTTGGAGCCTAGTTAAAAACTGTACACGTTGTTTTATTCATAAGGAGTTTTTTTATCGTGTCAAGCCTTTCTTTGAATTAGAATTGAATCGTAGAACAACCCGGTACAACGATTGCTTGCCTCTATATTATCTTCTAAATCCTTCCTCACTAATTGAACGATGTGAGAAAATAAACGTTACGAGATCGCGTTTGCGTGAGTGGATGCATTTCTCTAACTTTAAGAATCTAAAAATCATAATCGACAGCTCGTACAGGTTATCAATGATTTATCCAAATCTTTTGTCAATTCTATGTTTGTTCAATGAATTTAAATGAATAAAACCATTTCAAATGCAGGATGAGTATCGTCCGTAACAATTATAAACATCTGAGATCGCATGCGAGACCACGTTATTTGATAAAGTGTGAGATACAATTCAAAATGCCTATTAGACAACCGGATGGTAGTTACCTATAGAAAAAAAAAAGACTTCCAATCATTACTTCGGACAACAATACTAACCAGCGGGTCTGAATAAACAACGTTTTGTTTTTGGTAATTTATTCGTACAAACATCTCACGTTACTGGATCTAGCGGCGCACAATGGTGGCGTTCATCTTCGTCGACGTTTCGCTAGCTACCAAGAGTAACATGGTACAATGCGCTTTTATATGTCACTGGCTTCCATATATTTTACTGATTCTACTGTTCAGGCGAGATGATTCATAGGCGATAAGAGCTGGCTCTGCCAAACGAACACATGAGATTCAATTTGATCACACGAGTAGATGAAACTTCGAGAGATTTCCAGTCGGTAAAAAAACTGCTAAAAAATATATTTATAGCATGAATTTGTGCATATGTATAGAGCATAGAAATGTGGCCGACTCCCACAAGTCTAAATACAAGTCTAAATTTAATCTCTGTAAATTACTCGGTAAAATTAAGGGAATTAAATTTCAAACTGGGCCTGGAAACCCAATGCGAAGACTTCCACATATTGTGTATGCAATGCTGGTTGAGCAGGCCGTATGTGGCGTTAGCGAGCACATCATCATGGCTACAATGCGCTTAGAAGGTCTACCTCGATTTTACCACTTTCGCCACGAGAACCGTCATGGGCTTAACCCATACAAATGAGCTACGCCGCTGTCAACTGCACGGACGATAATAACGGGTACCATAATGATACTGTGATACCCTGTCAGTTTCTTCATCTTTTGGTCGCCCATTACGCAGAACGAATCAGCAACGAAGGGCGCAGCTAGGTATAATACTAATATGGCAAAAACGAATATCCCCCTGGCAACAATGTCGATAGTTGGTCTGGTCGACGAACGATGCTATTCGTTGATCAGTTGATTATCAGTTCGCTTTGACGCATCGAACAGTACCACAACAACAATCGTCTGTGTAGAAGAAAATTAACAATTCGTTTCTTTCCTCTAACCTTATATTCAACTCAATTCTATGTTGAATTCGACAACTTCACGACAATGACGTCGACAGACGGCAAACAGCATTTCACCAAGGTGTCCATTACTAATCTATCGATTCTAACAGCCTAGTGTTTTTCAGCTGTTGTCTTTTAAATTTCTGCAGAATCTCGCTACTTTCCTTTCACCCTTAGACATAGGACTAAGTCACTGTCATCTATGAAAAGATGGGGACAGTTACGTCGTTTTGGGGATATACCCTGGAATCAATTCCGATTAAACTTCGGTGAATTATCCGATACGTTGATGATGTGAGATGGCCATGTCCTAGTAGCCTTGTTTTTATGATAACCTGCATACTCGACCATGGACTGTATATAAATGAAAATATTTTGCTATCGTCGTGCAGTGCTTGATACATCTATTGCTGTCCGGAGAGAAATCATGTTCAGATCTACGTCTTAAACAAGCATCGCAGGTCGTTTGAGTAATTATAACTTTTGCTGATCGATTCGTTCTTTCGCGCGTTTTCGTACTCGTCACCTTCGTCACTGACAAATAAATAATTGCCTAAATAAACAAACCATACTTGGATCGAGGAGAAAGCCATTGTCAGTTGGGTCAAAAGCAAGAATCGCTTCTTATCAAAGAGTTTTTGTCGCGGACTCCATTCATAGAATGGGACAATAGAATCGATTGTTTCTTTAAATCAACAAACGACCACCACCGTTGTCCTGTAAGTGGCTAGCGTCTACTCTAACCATTGTCGGCACTGTCTTCTCTGACCGTGTGATCATTGGGCGTATCCACCTGAAAATGTATGCCGGCTCATTGTGCTGTGCACATTATGCCCATAGTATCACATAAGATCGTAAAGTTCCTTTACCTGTCAATATCAGCAATGTTCCTCTGACGATATTGATGGAGCTGAATAAAATACGTTTCATTTTTCAAGTAATTTATTAGTCCACTAGCTTAATTAGTGCCTAGATGCTGGTTATAGTTTCGATTTCCATGGGCCCCGAGGAACGCATCGCCTATTTAGGTACCACACAGGGAATGAATGTAGGTTATTTTATGTCCCGTAATAGTACGATTACACATTACCGAAGGACTCAATGTGATTGTGAGCCTATTTCAAGATCGCTTCAATGCTTCTTTAAGCTGACTTATTACCGCGGAGGCCTGCTTTATAAGCAATGGCACTAAACACTTCTGTAGGGAAACTGTCTTTATTACTAGCTTTGTGTCAAATACTCCATTTACAATTGCGGCCGACACGTCTCCAACATAGAGTAATCGATGCAAACAAAAATCTCTAACGATTCATTCTCATAACAATGATATTATCCATGTTGCGTGCAGGGAGAGGCATCCACTGCGGAGGCGATTAAAAAGGTAGTCGCATTGGCCAAAGCCGGCGGTAAGAAGCTTAAACGTGTTGCTGTGTGCATATCACCAAACGGCATTCAGACGAGGGAGATGCCTTCGGAAGAGCTTCACCTTGATGTTACCATCTACAGGTTAGTTATTAGACGACAGTGATCAGGCCCAAATCCCTAGAGCAATGAAGTTGGCGTACAAATATTATAGATGTCATTTAAAGTTTTCGTTAGGGTAGACACAGCTGTGCTAATTGATGCAAATAATTTTTCTCAATTATGGTAGGTTCCTGATAAAGCCATTGACAAAAAACCGAAATAGTCATTATTTAACAAAAAAAAAAAAACATTATCCCTTTCCAAAGAGGACAGGCTCAAATTCACTTTAGTTACAGGAGTTACCTATGCCTCACATTACCTCCTTTCGTGAAAGTCAACGTTAAGATGGGCCGTGTAACATCCTTCTACTGTTTTTTTGCAAACAAGACAAACTACGATTGTTAACAATAATATCAATTGATGAATAAAGACTTCTATTTCGATCTACACATTGCTTTCGGTCCTATCATAACAAGTACATACATTATAAGAGTAAATACTGTTATTGCCATAAAAAAATAAGGTGGTTAGCGTATTACATTAACGTTTTATTATTGCTTGTTTGTATGCGTTAAAATGTTATTGTTGCTTTGAGACGCTCAATCATCTCTTGCCAATCCTAAAAATAAGCGTAATCATACTTCTATAATATCTTTGGATCGAACCTGATGTCCGCTTCGAATGCAATCATTTGATATCACCAGCATTATCTAGCTCGCACTAATTTTTTTGCACAGGTTTCTTTTTGATCTTATGCGAACTGAGAATCTCTACCTACGAGTGTGCATTTCCAGCTGAGGTATGTTAGGAAGTTATATGGCCCATATTGGATATCGCTTCCTCTGGGGAACACAAGGAAATGCCTGGTTTAGTTAGGACATTTATCAGGGTATTAGTTCATAGATACATATGGTGGCTAATTCATCCAATCATCCTAACGGATTTAAGGTTTCCCGAAGCAAAAAAATAAGCTGACCGCTATATTCTAGGTCATTATTTGGAACAGTTAGTAAGTAGTATATTCAGTGTTCGATACTGTGAAATCGTAAGACTGGATGTATGGATTCGTCTACAGATATTCTTAAGACAAATATCAATACGGTACTCTTCGTAGATCTACAATGCACGTAATATGCTGACTTTTTAGCGGCTTAATCTGGTTTAAGTACTGTCAGATGGATTAGAAACTAGCAATCAGCTACTGCCTGCTGCCTGTTTGTAGGCCACAAAACCTATTAATCGATGTTAGGCCAAGTATTTTAGTTTCATTGGACCGACTTCAAATCCTTCCCAAGAAATCCTAAAAAAGAACTTAAGTGATTTAAACAACTAAAACGATAATCCATGTTGTAGCTCAAAATTCACGGCTAGTTAATATAATTAATTACTATATTGTTAATTATAATTGAACCTTATTAATATTATTATATATATTATTAAAAACTACATTTGCTCACTTCGAAATTCTGCTATTCTGCTTTTTTTCAATTTACATATTGGCCCGAAGTAGCATTTTAGGCCATCCAAATCATTGATGATTCTCTCAAAAACGTACGTTGATCTCCATTATCAAGTCGCGGCATTTGCTTGGTTTTATCCTATCGATTCTAAAGTATCTAGCTGTAACAGGGATACATAATAGTTCTACGAAGGATGTTTGTTGCTCGCCATATCAGCAGCAGTTTTCGTCGTAAACAAAAGAAAAATAAAGCAGCAATGGTCGAAAAAGTTCCGAAAAAGAAAATCCGATTGGCTGACTGGGAATAGTCCGCCATTAAAGCGTCCCAGCGCGGGTACAATGACATGTGACCCGCTACACGGGGTTAAGTCTAACGATCTCCGATGGTAGGCTCATACAGACAACCGTGAAAGCGTAAAGTTTATTTAGTAAAGGCTTTTATGATCTAGCATTAACAGAAAATTTGGCTTCCATATCTTAATGAACTTCGCTACTGCCAACGGTACGGGGGGTGCGGCCAACAACTTTCTTTAACGCTACCTTATATAGCGGCTGTTGTGGCTGAAACTGCAGGGGGCTGAGGTCTTGGGTTTCAACCCAATCCGAAAGCAGAATTGCAGCTGCTATCATAGAGCACGAGTGAGTAGTCTATTATAGGTTATTCAGTTATACTGATACGTCTGTAATATTTGTCTTAAAGCATCTACACGCGTCGAGCTGTCGAGGGCAGGCCTACTTCAAGTACCCAACCTCGCACTTTTCTTTTTGTTATCTTTTTCGTCTGACGTTATCCGTTTACCATAGATATTATTATATCAAGGTGAAGATCTGTACCTACGAAAACTTGATCTGTAACCCGATCTTTAATCATTAGAAATATATAATATCATTAGATAGAAACAGTGTAAATATATCATTTGTAATGCAACTTAAATTCTATGTCACTATATAAAAGAAAAAATCCGCTAGCTACAAAATCATCAAACGCAGTAGAGACTAGCCCGTTTTTGTTCGCAAGATGTAAGCCGAAAGCGGCTTTATCTCGTACATTATATATTTTACAATGCCATAGTTCCATATAGACCCGATAAGCAAAATTAGGCCCTTGCGGGGCATATGTGGTGGGAGCGATTGAAAATCAACACGGCGTCACTTTTATTGTGAAGCGCCTGTTGCATTTGTTTTTCAGCACAAAAGATTAATCCGACCACGTCACGATGTGTAAAATAATTGACTGTGACAGACTAAAGTCAATCTACTAAATACCGTAACCTTAGCCATTAAGTTCGTGCTATAATAGGCCATCTCTCTCTTCCCGATCGTCCCTGTTATCACAGAGAACAGTGATCTAATTTCCAGCCATCGTCTATTCTAGCAGATGTCAGTTCTATTCTTCGTCTGCTTTTCTTCTTTAGTAACCAGCCATACAAATCAACGAACGAATGAATGAATTGATGAGCACAGTACTGACGTAAAAGACCGCCATTTTACAGGCAAGGAACCTACTAACGATCACCTTCTAGCAAATAGAACAGCCTCTACAAAAAAAAGACGTTCGAGGGACACATTACATGAATGCGAAAGAACGAGCTAGAGTAAGACACGGCAAAATATTATTCAATTGATAGCCCCTGCAGAAGATCGTACCGCATACATATGTGCACAGAAATCATTCAGACTGAATGATATAGGAAAAGAAAAAGATTACCATACCATACGATGATACAATATAAATTATTCTTGGTGCAGCTGGACGGAGTGGCTATTGATGTCAGCTCCACTGCATAGTATAAAACGAGCTTGCATAGCCAAACAATGTTATTGTGACAAAGCCAAGTTACTATAGACCCGAGCCCCTCCGCCGCCCTCTTTGTGGATCAGCTGTAGTTAATGACGTTGCTTGTTTACTGGCGCTATTATGACACTTCTGCCTCAATAGTCGACACTCGACTGCCGTGTATTACTTTCTTTCTCCTTAACTGCACTTGTTTCTTTTTTGTCCTTCAGTTTAGTGGTCCTTTGTAGGGATATAAACTAATATCAGCGATGCCGACGGCGATGATGACATTGCCTACCTACACTAATAGTGTGTTGATGGTGATGTTACTAGTGCATGAAGCAGACAATAGCCAGCCGTGACGTTTTCGTTTGGCTGATACCGCGTTAACTGAGTTAATCGCATTTGGCCCTTGAAGTCCAGATAATCGGACCAAGCGGTCAAAGCAGCCGTGGGAATAGCTACGAAATTGACTTTCGTCCCCATTTTGTCCACTAAACCCATCATGATGTAACAACAGCCAACAATGATGATTTTGTTGTTACAATTGTATCGTAAGTCACGTGCCATTGTTGTCGCCATAATTTATCAGTGAGAATACTATTATATCTCACAGCTCTGTAAATTATAAGTTTTGATAATACCTAGTATAGCCCGTCCCCGTGTATCTATCTCCTGTTCCCACTGATCTATTATATATTACCATATAACTCCCCAGCCGCCAGCAGCCAGTAGCCCCTCTCCCCGAATACCTCTGATCTTAGTAAACGTTCCACCGTGTTCTGCATCACATTCGCACAATGATGCTAAATATAAACTAGGTCGCGGGAATTGTCTGACGGCTGTCGGCAGTGGGAAAAAGAAGCTGCAAAAACGACCCAATTTGAAAGAGTTTGTTATGCTTTCCGAACTCCCATACGTATGAACAGCTAGCCAGGAGCGTAACGGCTGATTATCCATGCAGAGGTAAATGTAGTTACCTTTGGACTCTACCCCGTCGGTGTCAATATAGTTTTGGGGCTAGCCACCTATCAATAGAACGTACAGGTTCACTAAAAACGGATTCGAATTTCAGGAACCTTGACTAGAAGGTGAAATGTACCATATGTTTGATCTAATGTATCGTTAAGTGTCAATCGGCGTAAATGTCTCTTTGAATCCATATCGTCCCCAGTACATCTATAGCCCGAAGATATTAAATAAACATTTTCATCTAGAGCCGGCAATAAACCATAAGAATAGCACTAAAATCGCAAAGGCTCAGCCAATGGCCGACGAGGTAGTATATAACGAAGCAGTCGTTATACTAAGCATAAAATCAGTTGACAACATTTGACGCGGTGATCTCCGCGGGGACATAGCCGCATATAAGGACATAGCGTTGCCTAAAATTAACAAATGTTTAGCTTTTAACAAAATCTATGTAATAAACATGGAATACACTTTGTCTTGAAGTTTTTCTTCTAATATGATAACAATATGATTTCCACTACCCAGTTTTATGATTCAACATAAAATATCTCATATCGGCCGTATAATCTTAGTTCAACTACAAAGCTACGCTGATATGTTAAGTATTTGTAAGAATTATTGCCAACGATTGTTAACGGTCTAGCTGAGTATGGATTCAGATGTGTATGCGGCTATAGAACGTGTTACCGCTACCTCAATGCAGTTTACGGAAGCTCATAAAATACTTGCTTTAAAATATCTTCTTCAAAAGATCTTCGATACCAATTTGTATAACATGAACTTCGCAAATGGTAGTAGGTTAAAGCCGAGTGCTTTCTTAACATAGAATTTCAG